ATAGGTAGTATATAGCATATACTTCTAGTACATATGTATAATTAGTACATATGTACTTTGTACTACTAGTAGTACATATGTACTACTAATGCATATGTACATGTATATAGTACATATGTATGTACTATGTACTATGTACATGTACATATGCATTATTAGTACATATGTACTATTAGTACATGTGTACATATGTGTACTAGTACTATGTACTACATAGTACATACTAGTACTAGTAGTACTACAAGAAGTACGTATGGAGTAGTACTAGTAGTACTACATAAGTAGTACAAATAGTACTACTACTAATACATATGTATGTAGTACATAGTATTACTAGTACTACTAGTACTTTTGGTAGTACTACCTACTAGTAGTAGTATGTACTACTAATAGATGTACATATGTAGTAGTATGTATTAGTAGTACATACTAGTAGTAGTATGTATGTACTACTATGTACGTACTTGTAGTACATATGCATGCAGTACTAGTACTACATAGTATATACTAGTACATACTAGTACTACATAGTACATACTAGTAGTACTACTAGTTCTATTAGTAGTACATACTAGTATTACATAGTACATACTAGTAGTACTACTAGTAGAATATACTACTAGTACTACCACTATTAGTACTACTAGTAATACATACTACTAGTAGTACTACTGGTATGTACATATTAATAGTACTAGTATGTACTTACTAATAGTACTAGTATGTACTAGTATACTATGTAGTACTAGTATATACTATGTAGTACTAGTATGTACTAGTATTAGTACTAGTATGTACTAGTAGTACATACTAAAAGTACTAGTACATACTACTAGCACTAGTACATACTACTAGCACTAGTACTAGTACATATGTACTCATAGTGGTATGTACTACTACTAGTACTAGTACATACTACATATGTACTAGTACTACATACTACTATTGGTTACGTTCGTTTGGTCGACCCAGCCTTCAAGCTTTCATGGCTGCACCTTGTTTCAACTAAGTTCGTATAGGGATGAACTTTTGCCACATTAGAATTTTTTATATAGTAGCTTATCAAGGAGAGCTACCCTGCTAGGACCTGCGTGCTTGATACATATAACAATAATATCATGTTGTCAAAATATCCTTGAAATTATCAGTCACCTGAGCATAATAAGAGCGAACAACACTTCCACAGATCAGTTGCAGATAATGCTTGCACAAATACTTGTACATAATTTTTACGCGGAACACTTGCTCATAACATTTTTATATAACACTTCCGCATAACACTTGCACATAATCAATTGCTCATAAAATTAACACTTGGTAATAGTAATAGTACTAGTACTATTACTATTACTAGTATTACTGCTACTAGTAATACTACTATTAATAGTATCAGTAATAGTTTTAATATTATTACAATTAATACTTACAATATTAGTATTACAAATATACTATTACTTAGCATCGGTCCAAACTACATGACGCTAAACTGCTCATCCTAGGTCCAAACAGCACCCTAAACTGCTTAAGCTTTGTCCATACTGCATGCCCCTAAACTGCTCACCATCAGTCCACACTGCATGCTCCTAAACTGTTAAGCCTCCGTCCAGACTGCATGACCCAAAACTGATCAGCCTTGGTCCATAACGCATGACCCTAAACTGCCCAGCCTTGGTTCATATTGCATGACCCTAAACTGCTCAGCCTCGGTCTGTAATGCATGACCCTAACCTACTAAGCCTCGATCCACTATGTATGACCATAAATTGCTCAGCCTCGGTCCATACTGCATGAACCTAAACTGTACAGCCTCGGTCCATATTGCATAACCCTAAACATCTCAGCCTCTGTCCACACTTCAGGACCTTAAATTGCTCAGCTCGATCCAAACTGCGTGAACCTAAACTGCTCAGGCTCGACCCATCCTGCATGACCTTAAACTACTCAGCTTGGTTTCATACTGCATGAGCCAAAACTGTTCAGTCTCGACCCATATTACATGACCCTAAACTGCTCAGTACTACATGTGTACATATGTAGTACTAGTACATATAGTACATATGTAGTATGTACTACTAAGACTTATGTATACTAGTACATGTGTACATATGTACAAGTAGTACATATGTACATATGTATTAGTAGTACATATGTACATATGTACTAGTATGTACTACCAGTACATGTGTACTATGTACTAGTACATGTAATATTAGTATATACTAGTATATATGTAGCATGTACTACTAGTACACCTGTTCATATGTACTAGTACATAGTACACATGTACATATGTACTAGTGCATATACTAGTAGTATATATGTACATATGTGTATGTACTATGTAGTACACGTAGTACATGGATGTATTACTAGTACATATGTACTATGTACTATTAATAGTACATATGTACTACTAGTACATATATACATGTATATAGTACATATGTACTATGTACTATGTACTACTAGTAGTACATGTACATATGTGTACTAGTACTAGAAGTACTATGTACTATGTACTATTTGTAGTACTACTAGTACATATGTACTACATAGTACATACTAGTACGAGTAGTACTACATACATATGTAGTACTACTTGTAGTACTAATAGTACTACTAGTAGTAAATACGTATATAGTATATAGTACTACTAGTACTATTAGTACTACTAATAGTACATATGTACTACTACATATGTAGTACACGTACATATGTACACTTGTACTACTACATAGTACTACTAGTAGTAGTATTATGTAGTATTAGAACTACATATTACTATGTACATAGTACCACTAGTAGGAGTATGTACAGTATAATACTACTAGTAGTAGTATGTACTACTAGTAGATGTACATATGTAGTAGTATGTATTACTAGTACTAGTAGTACATACTAGTAGTATGGATGTACTACTATGTATGCACTAGTAGTACATATGTATGCACTACTAATACATACGTACTAATACTATAGAGTACATACTAGTAGTACTAGTAGAACTAGTACTACATAGTACTATTAGTAGTACATACTACTAGTTTATGTATTAGTAGTACATACTGCTATTATGTACTACTAGTAGTACTAGTAGTACCTACTACTACTAGTACATATTACTACTTGTCTGTACTACTAGTACATACTACAAATAGCACTAGTATGGACGAGGCTGAGCTGTTTCGGGTCTTGCAGTATGGACCGAGGCTGAGCAGGTTTGGGTCAGGCACTATGGATCGAGGCCGAGCAATTTAGGGTTAGCCAGTATGGCTCGAGCCTGGGCATTTAGGGTCATGCAATATGGACTGAGGCTGAGCAGTTTAGGATCATGCATTATGGACTGAGCCTGGGTAGTTAATGGCCATGCATTGTGGATTGAGGCTTAGCAAATTAGGGTCATGCTTTTTTTACCAAGGCTGAGCAGTTTATAGTCACACAGTATGAACCGATACTGAGCAGCTTAAGGTCATACAATATGGAACGAGGTTGAGCAGTTTAGGGACTTGTACTACGGACCTAGGCAGAGCAGTGTAGGGTCATGCAGTTTGGACTGAGGCTGAGCAGATTAGGGTCATGCAGTATGTACAGCTCAGCTTCGGTCCATATGACATGACCGTAAACTGTTCAACCTCGGTCCAAATTGCATGACCATAAACTGCTCAGCCTCGGTCCATACTGGACGACCCTAAACTGCTCATGCTCGATCTATACTGCATCACCCCGAACTTCTCAGCCTCGATCCATACTGCATGACCCTAAATTGTTAAGCCTCGGTCCAGACAACATGACCTTAAACTACTCAGCCTTGGTCCATACTGCATGACCATAAACTGCCTCGCCTCTTTCCATGTTGCATGACCCTAAACTGCTCAGCCTCAATCTAGACTGTGTGACCCTAAACTGCTCAACCTCTTTTCATACAGCATGACCCTAAACCACTCCGCCTCGTTCCATACTGCAGGACCCTAAACTGCTCATCCTCGTACCATACAGAAAGTGTGTAGACTGCACATCCTCTGTCCATACTGCATGACCCTAAAGTGCTCAGCCTCAGTCAAAACTGCATGACCCTAAACTGCTCAAGCTCGGTCGGTACTGCATGACCCTACACATCTCAGCCTCGGTCCATACTGCAAGACCCTAAAGTGCTCAGTCTGGGTCCATATTGTATGACAATAATATGCTCAGCCAAGGTCCTTATGACATGACCGTAAACAACTCATCCTCAATCCAAACTGCAAAACGGTAAACTGCTCATCCTAAGTCCAAACCGCATAACCCTAAATTGCTCAAGCTCGGTCCATACTGCATGACCCTAAACTGCTCACCCTCGGTTCACACTACATGACCCTAAACTGTTAAGCCTCGGTCCATACTGCATGACCTTAAACTGTGCAACCTCAGTCCATATTGCATA